TCGGATTCTGTTACGTGATAGAAAACCGGGAAAATTTGGAGTTCCTTCTCTTTCTTGCAATCAACAATATGTGCAAGTTCATCCAAACACCACGTTGAAGAAGCATAATCTCTTGAAAGAATGACGACTGCAAACCTCGATTCTTCAATTGCTTTCATGAGTTCTGGGCCAATGGGTTTTCCCCTCTTCAGTTTTTCATCATCCATGAAGGTATCAATTCCTTTCTCTATCAAAGCATGGTATAAATGGCTCGTAAAACTTTGGCGGGTGTCCTCACCCCTAAAACTGAGAAACACATCATGTGTCAATATTTTAGGGGTTGAAGAAGCCGATGAAGGCATTTCGGTGCAGTCGAATCAAAACTGATGCAGTAGGTCGTACAAGAAAAGTAAGAGACAAAGAAGAAGAAGATCGAGCAGGAAGAGAAAATGAGGAGGAGCAGGAGGATGAAGATGAAACAATGATGTTGATCGATGGAAGGCAATGGATGAGAGATGGAGTTCTATTGCTTTGGGCAAACAAGGCTTGAATATTAGTGGGATATTTATAAGCAATTAAGCAGAGTCTGGCTGATCAAGGGACCAAGAAAATTATTATGTCTAGTTAATATAACATTATCTTACGACTAAACATGTTCATTTATTCGCCAGGTGTGACAAGAAATGGGAACACCAGAAGATTATGCATAATCAATTGCCAATCAAGTGATATATATATATATACACACATAACATTTTATATTGGAAATACAATCAATAGATGCTGATCATGTTACACATGATCAAATATTATATTGCCAGGTGTTACAAAAAATATTAATACTAGGTTTTTCTTTTCGTTGACATTATAGTGAAACATTTGATGAGTTGCTCATACTAATTTCCACCTTCTGGGAACGTACGGGAAACTGAGAAACTATGATCAAGGGATCAAGTAAATTATTATTTCTAGTTGATAACACATTATCTTATGACTAAACATGTTGATCATTTATTCGCCACGTGGGACATGAAATGGGAACACCCGAACATTATGCATAATCAATTGCCAATCAAGTGATATATATATATATATATATTGGAAATACAATCAATAGATGCTGATCATGTTACACATGATCAAATATTATATTGCCTATACAAAAAACTATTAATACTAGGTTTTTCTTTTCGTTGACGTTATAGTGAAATATTTGATGAGTTACAAAGAAAAATCAGAGGGGAA